TGCAGCCAGAACAAAGGCCTGGGTCCCAGGTACCGGAGGAAAACCAGTGCCTGCAGCCAGGGAAAGGAGGATCTATTGCATGAATCTTCATGCAACAGGCCTCTAGTATAGCATATTCTTACAGTCAAATATTCAGCCAGAAAAGGAATGAAGTACTGTTAAAATTGCATGAACCTTGAAAGCATTATGCTGAACAAAAAGAAGCCAGACACAAAAGACCTTCATACATTATATGATTCCATTTATATGAAATATTCAGAATAGGCAAATATATGGAAATGTGAAGCTTAGTGGTTGCCAGGGCCTGGGACGGGAATAATAACTCTTTAATGGACATGGGGTTTCCTTTCGGAGTGATGAAAATGTCTAGGCCTAGATAATGGTGGTGGTTGAACAGCATTGTGAATGTATTAAATGCCATTGCATTGTATACCTTGAAATGGTTAAAATGACGAATTTTATGTTATGTGAATTTTGCCACAATTTTTAAAAAAATAAGGAGTCAGTTGGGGCCAGATCAGATGCCCTAAACTGGGTCTAATGTCCATTCCTCAGACAGAGCTGCTGGCTCCCCTTCCTGTTACTGCCCTCCCCGGCCCAGGCCAGGGGTAGAGGAGCCTCTGGCACCTCTCATTGTGGGGGAGCCCATGGTCAGGCGGAATTGAACCCAGGAGGCAGGATTCCCTGCAGCCAGGCCTGCTTCTTGCTCGTGTTCTTCTGCTGAGGCCTAGCCCCTATGGCTTCCTCATCCCACTGACCAGCCTGCTTCCAATTAGCGCCAAATGCTCCATACATTGCGAGCCTCTGGGCCTGGCTCTTGCTTTGTGCACTATGCAATGGAAGTCTTTCCCTTGTGATCCCTCATCCACCTGGGAACATCCTTTAGGAACCAGTTTCTATCTTCCCCTTGGAGAAGACGTCCTCCTCTCTCCACCCCCACCACAGCTGAGCTGAGCTCTTCCCAAGGTGTCACATGCATGTATCAATGAGCGCGGGTGTGGGTTCATCATGTTTGCACATGTGTCTCCCCAGGAGGACTGGGATATGTGGAGGGAGGGGCCTGGCGTGTCCATCACTGTGTTCCTGGGACAGCTCTGGTGCCTGTTCCTAGGAGATGCTCAGCATCTGCTTGTTAAATAAGGCAATGGCTTTGGGAAGGTTCCCTTCCCTCCCCAACATTTTCCATCACCGAGGAAGGGACAGCCGAGGTGATGTCTCTTTGTCTCCAGGGTTTTCTGGTTCAAAGAGCAACAGTGGGTGGCCACTCCAGCAAGTTGCTGCCTGTTGTCACGGTTTTCTGCTCCTTTGCTCGCTGATAGAAGTGGAGAAGGAGCTAGAAGGAGCCTGCAGCAATCTACTGCAAGCAGCTATTTCTGCTCTTGGCAAGGAGAAGGAGGGGCAGTGCCCAGAGACTGGGCTTCTCCATGCAGCCTGAATGGACCATCTTCTCTTTGGGAATCTAATTAAAACCCTCCCCTGAACAGCCTAGACATGTGGGTTTGGGCTAAGGGTACCTGGAGTCCTTCGACTGCAGGTTCTTGTTCCATTTTCCTCTGCAAACTCGAGGTGCTACTCTTTCTGCTTTTCTGATTATGAAATTAGTCATTTTCTAGGAAGCTTATTTATAGAGTCCTCTGAACACATGCAGCACCAAGCTATTCTGAACACAGCTTGGGGCCTGGAGGCTTAGGTGTAAAAGCGTCTGTGAGTCACCCCTAGGGCCCCTTCCAGAGGTATCTGGATATCTTGGTTACTTTTCTGCCCCCAGCAAGGGGATAACCCTCACGGTCTGTCCTTAGACGGGGGTGCTCTTTAGGATAAAGAAAAAGCTCTTTCTCAGAACTGGGAGGTCAGGAATAGGCATTCTTTTTTTTTAATCCTCACCAGAGGATATTTTCCCATTGATTTTTAGAGAGAGTGGAAGGGAGTGGGAGAGACACAGAGAGTGAAACATCCATGTGAGATTGGTTGCCTCCCGCACACACCCTGATCTGCAAGCAAGGTACGTGCCCTTGACCAGAATCAAACCTGGGACCCTTCAGTCCATGGGCTGATGCTCTATCCACTGAGCCAAACTGGCTAGGGCAGGGATAGGCATTCTTTTTTTTCTTTTTTTAATATATTTTTATTGATTTTGTACAGAGAGGAAGGAAGAGAGAGAGTTAGAAACATCGATGAGAGATAGTCATCGATCAGCTGCCTCTTGCACACCCCCTACTGGGGATATGCCCGCAACCAAGGTACATGCCCTTGACCAGAATCGAACCCAGGACCTTTCAGTCCCCAAGCCAACGCTCTATCCATTGAGCCAAACCGGTTTTGGCGGGATAGGCATTCTTGATCCAAATGTCCGTGGTCACGATGTACGACCTGGGACAAGTCAGACCCCATTTTGTGCCTCAGTTTCCTTCTCTGCACAGTCATTGCTCCAGATGTGTGACTCTGTGACCGCTCTTGACAGCAGCTCTGGAGGAGGGTTCCAGGTGGCTTAACAAAGTCCTGAAAGCCAGGCAGCTCAGAAGGTAACCATGTTGGAGGTTCAAGATGGTCAGGGCAACATTCATTTTTTCGGCAAGTGTTTAGTGAATGCCTACTACGAGCCAGCCACTGTGTGAGACTTTGAAAATAAGACAGAAATGGTGGTCCCAACCTTGTTGTAATTTCTGGTCTAATGGTTGAGGTAGAGGTTAATCAAATAATGGCATAAATCAAAATGAAGTTTCAAATTGTGTCAAGTGCTATTACTGAGAAGTAGAGATGGGGGAGCTTTCTGGGTAGAGGGGAAAGTATGTACAAACTCATCCTGCATGAAAGAGCCTGACCAAAGGGCAGAGGTCAAGAAGGAAAGGGACCTGAAATAAAGCTGGAGGGATAAAGGTGGGTCAGACCATGCAGGTCAAGTAAACTTTGTTAAAGGATCTTTATCTTTGTTCCAAGTGCAGTATGATGCCATTCAAGTCGTTTTTCAAGGAAGCTTATGTGATAAATGTTGAGTTTGGAAAGAGTTGATTCTAGCTCAAGCCTGCCCCATTCAGTTGTACAGGTTGTAAAATGCTCAACCTATGCAGCCATATGTATGCATTGGGGCATATGGAAAAAGTTTTGGAGGCCAGCCTGAGTGGATGCCAGAGACCAGTTAAAAGGTTGCCTCGATGCCCAGCCTGCATGGCTCAGAGGTTGAACATCAATCTATGAGCCAGGAAGTCATGGTTCGATTCCCAGTCAGGGCACATGCCTGGGTTGTGGGCTCGATCCCTAGTGTGGGGTGTGTGGGAGGTAGCCGATCAGTGACTCATCATTGATCTTTCTATCTCTCCTTTTCTTTCTGAAATCAATTTAAAAAAAATTGCCTCAGTACCCCAAGCATGAGATGCTTGGCTTGGACCAAGATGGAGTAGTGGAGAGGGAGAAAGGTGGAAAGACTCAGGAGACGTTTAAAGGGCCCTTTCTGCAGGAGAGCTCGGCTCTGAGATTTTACATTCTCAGAGACAGTGCCAATTGCAATGAGGAAAAAATAAAATGCAATACCAGCTGCAAGCACCTAGAGTTAACCCGGCATGTCTGCCCTTTATTATTTCAGCCCAGCCTCAGGACCGATCTGAGAGGCAGGATTGCAGGACTGGTGGGCAGAGAGGCAGCTCACCTATTGGGCTTCTTGAAAGTAGTATGCTAGTGGGGCAATAATAAAAGATCCTGTTGGCTGCCAATTTCAAAAATCAAATCCCACTAGCTGAAGCTAACATGTTGGAAGTTATTGAAAGGATTCTGAGGCATCTCGCGGCCTCGGTGAACATGCTGCCCAGTCAAGACTCAGGATGGGCCAGAATGCAGCAGCTCCGACATTTCCGACCTTTTCTCCAGGGCACTGCAGCTATCGTTATTCAGCCCCAGTAACCCAGGCTACAGGCCCTCCGGAGTGTGTTTGAAAAGTGCAGGCAAGACCATCTGATTGACCCAGCCTGGTTGGTGTGCCCAGCCCTGGATCAGCCATCCATTGCCAGGAGTCAGAGACATGAAAGGCCGGGGGGCGGGGGGGGGGGCCTGCAGCCCACACCTGCATTTCCAGCCATTCCCACAGTAGGGAGCCCCTGCAAGCTGTGCAGTTGCCCTTAGATGATGTCTGTCTACAGGCATTCAAGGGGTCTGTCTGGTCCACAGCAACCTTCTTCCAGCTTCTTGGGTAAAGGAGGAAAGCTAGACCCCACTGTAGTTCTAAAAGGTGCCCTCATGATCTAGAAAGAGGGTGTTCTTATTTCAGAAAAAAATAGAACGTTTAGAATATGCAAAAAAAAAAAATACATATAGCTATTTCCGGAGAAGAGCTTTGCATACCACTCACTGTCCACTGCCTGAGGCACAGGGCATTCGCAGTCCTCGGGGAGCTGGGCACAGACTGTGTTACTCAGACCCCTCTATTTGCTCACCAGGGCTTCCAACTTTTAAACCCACAGTAACTGTCAGAACAGCACAGTAGTGAGTGTGTGCCTGGAGTCCTAGACTGTCATTTCATACCAGCTCCCACCCAAATGATCTGTGTAACCTTGGGCAAGTTCTTGAACTTCTCTGAGCCTGCTTAATGATCCCTAATTCATGAGGTTGCAAGGAAGACTCTGTGATAAAATTTGTAAAGTGATTTGCCCATGGTAAGCCCCCCCTTGAAATCTAGAGGAGGAGGAGGAGGAGGAAGAAGAGGAGAAGGAGGAGGAGGAAGAAGAGGAGGAGGAGGAGGGTTGTCATAGTGATGCTACTGTCACCGTTGTCACATAGAAGATACCTGCAAAATTCTGGCTCTGCAGTTTGGCCCTTCTGTTGGTTTTTCCTAAGGTCCTCCTGATGGAGTGGGGTGGAGTTATTCAAAGGGACACAGCACAAGAAAGGAAGGCTTCTGATCTTTGCTCAAGGTTGTCTTGATGCCAGCCTCATCTTCTGTTTTCTCATCCTGCTGCAGGAGGGAGTGAGAGAACCACGCTGCTGATGACTCCGAGGGAGGGGCCCTGGACATGTGCTGCAGTGAGAGGCTGCCGGGTGAGTCTTCCCAGCACCCAGATGCCCCCTTCCCCCACCCCCACCCCCAGAGTTCCAGATGGAGGGAGAGAGCCCCAGATGACACTGCGGCTGGAGTAAAGCCTGGTTAGTTGGGAACTTGCTTGAGAGGAGTGACTCAGCTGGTCCATAGATCTTCATTTAAGTGGGGATTTGTTTTCTAATCCCTGATGTCTTGCATCGTTTGGAGCTGCTCTGGCTCCCATGGAGGGAAGAGCAGGCGGCTGAGAGTGTGCTGGGAGGGTGGAGAACTGGGGCGTCCGGGGCTGGCCAGTACATGACCACTGACCAGTAGTGTGCTGTGCAGATTTCAAGAGGTAAGATTGGGAAACACAGCTTGACTGGCATGAACCCAAGGTGAGGTGGAGAAACTACCTGACAGCCCTGTTGAGAAGCCTGGTTGTGAATGTCAAATTATGCTGCTTGTGTGGTTGACCACACTAGTGGACAGTAGGGGGAGTCTGGCTGTCTGACCGTGTCACCGGCCGTGTCACCACAGAAATATTACCAAGGTGCTCCTGCCCCTGGAGGCAGATGTCCCAGTTGTAGACCCAATGCCCAAGTCGTGAAAAGCAGCCTTGTAAGGAATAAAGGGAAGGAAGGTGGGGAAAGATTTTCATGTTGTTTTTCTTTTTAGAAATTTTTTGTTTTTGTTTTCTTCTTATAACAAATATCCATTGTAGAAATATTAGAAAATAAAGCAAGGGGGAGAAATAAAAGAAAAATTACCATTTTAATTTTTTTCCTTCGACACCTTTTTGTTTAAAAAAAACAAATCAACAACAAAAAACAGCCCTAGCTGGTTTGCCTCAGTAGATAGAGCGTTGGCCTGTAAACTGAAGGGTTCTGGGTTTGATTCTAGTCAAGGGCACATGCCTGGATTGCAGGCTCGATCCCCAGTAGGGGGCGTGCAGGAGGCAGCCGATCAATGATTCTCATCATTGATGTTTCTCTCTCTCCCTCTCCCTTCTTCTCTCTGAAATCAATAAAAATATTTTTTAAAAAATAATAATAACAGCCATTTGAATTCTAATATTAAAAACCCAAACCTGTTGCTTGTCAGAAATTTCTTGATTGACAGGCACCTGAGAGTGGAAACTTCAGTGACACTCTTTAAGATGGATATTTAAGATAACTAAGTATGCCTTTAAAGCAATGACTCTTTAATATAAGCAGTTATTGCTCCAACCAGTGGCTCTGTTGCTTGGAGTGTCGTCCTGTACACAAAAGGTTGCAGGTTCGATTCCTGGTCAGAGCACCTACATAGGTTACTGATTCCATCCCCCATCAGGGTGCATATAGAAAACAACCAATCGATGTTTCTCTCTCCATCTCTCTCTAAAAATTAAAAATATATCCTTGGGTGAGGGTTTAAAGAAAAATAAAATAATCAGTTATTTTATTCATACCATGAGCCAGCGTCCCAGCTACTGCTGAAGGTCCTCAGGTGAGCAGAACCCATGATGCAATTCACACTTTATCCAGTAGGCGGTACCCTTGATCAAAACACGTTGGACTGCCTGATGAGATGGCCTACGTCTAGGATAGGAGCCACTCCACAGTTGTAGGAACTATTATAGAAACGACTAACGTGAAGGAGAGAATTCCCCAGAGGGATGTGAGTGCTGTCTGTGACTCTCTGAAAGACTGTCTTGTGAAGGGGGCAGCTGATTCATTCTGTGTGCCTCTAAGGAAGATGGCATAAGCCTAGTACATAGAAACTATCGATAAAAGGAGGCCTGTTGGCCTACAAGACACAGAACCTTCTTTCTGACTCTAAAAGTGGTCCAGTTATAGAACTTGTTAATTGAAGAGGAAGAAAATGAGTGTTCCGTCACTGGAGGCATTCAAGTATTTTCTGGACAGACATTGGAGAGGAAATTTCCACAATGGATGGGAGGTCACGATGACATCAAAAGTCCCTTTCAACTACTGAACAGTTCTGTGATTCAGATGTGAGTCATAGAATTCGGAGATGATTCTACAACCAGGGACGGCCCTACTGGCTAGAAAAAAAAATCCATTTTGGAAAATAGGACATGATATATATTTGTCCAGAAAGTAGCATAGGGGGAGGAAAGAGCATGGGTTTTGGCCTTTGAGTCTGGCTGTTTTGTTTACAGGCTGTGTGTTAACGGGCAAGTCACTTAACCTTGCTGGGCTTCTAGTACCTAATTTGTAAGTGGAAACAAAAGCAAAATGGTTATTTATCTTCACAAAAGTTAAATAAGGAAAACCACACATGCACTTATTCAACAAACATTTATTGAACAACTACTGTTTGTCAGTTCCTATACTATTATAGGTGCTAGGGGTAATAGTGGTGAAAAAAGCAGCCAGTCTCTGCTCTGCTTTGAGTTGCTTCCGGAAAATAGGATGAAGCCAGGGCAGGAAGGCCACAGTAATAAGCATGTTTAATTCCATCCTTCTCTCCCATTCCTCCCTGACGGCCAGCAACCAAGGTAGAATGGAAGTTGGTAATCTCCATTGGAGCTGGCACATTGCCTTTCTTGTGCTTTGTGCACTGTTCCAAATGCTTTTACATGTATATGTCATGTAATCCCCTCCACTAACCTAGGGAGTCTGCATTATTTGCCATCCCAATCCTATAGATAAGAGGACCAAGGCCTAGGCAGGTTAGGGAATCTGTCCAGATCACCTAGCGAGTGTTTGGTAAAGTGAGAATTCACTCCAGGCTATCTGTTCAGAGCTCATGCTCCTGGCCACTACCCCATTGTGCTTCCATTGTCACCATAGAGCCACCACCATCTTCTGGAATCCTATAGGTTGAGGTAGGAAGAGCTAAGGGGTGTCTGTCCCCACGCAGAATTTTGGAGGAGATGATTGATGTCACTGTGCATATCCCCTTCTCTGCCCCTTCCCCTGAAAAACCCTGCCATCCAGAAGCCAGGCATGTGCTCCTCTAGACCCCACAGAGCCATCTTGATATAATATGGAAGTAACTTTTGCCTGTTTCCTCAATGGAACCATGAACTCCTTGAAGGCAAGTATCTCTCTGTGTCATCTTCCATGTCTGACATTCATCCGCTCACTTCTTCATTCCTTCACTAGCTAGTCATTGAGCATCTGCATGTGCTGAGCTCTTTCATAAGCACCAAAGATTAAACCGTGCATCGAACTGAGAAAACTTCCAGCTCCACAGAACAGTATTTGTGTCCTGGTTAACAGCAGGGACCCTTGACGTGGGGTGGCCCCACCACTTACCACGGGGTGATCACAGGCAAGCTGCTTACCCTGTGCGTCCCATTTACCAAATGGCAAGAATAATATTCACTGCCAGGTGGAGTTGTTTGAGGATTAAATGAAGTAACAGAGGAATTAGGACAGTGTTTGGTACACAGCATGTGCTACACAGGCATTTGTTATTAAGGGACAGACAGACAAATAAAATAAGTAAAATATATAGCATGGTAGGTAAGTGTTATGGAGAAATTAAGGCCAAGAAGCCAGGGATGGGAAAAGGACTGGAGGTTGGTTCTGGAACTTGGTAAGGAGTAGATTTCCACAAATGTTCATCAGCTGAAACCACTAACCCTGTGGTCGGCAAACTGGCTCGCGAGCCACATGCGGCTCTTTGGCCCCTTGAGTGTGGCTCTTCCACAAAATACCACGCCTGGGCGAGTCTGTTTTGAAGAAGTGGCGTTAGAAGTTTGAGTTTAAAAAACTTGGCTCTCAAGAGAAATTTCAATCGCTGTACTGTTGATATTTAGCTCTGTTGACTAATGAGTTTGGCAAACACGGCACTAACCTGAATTGCAACTTGGACATAAAGGGAGATGGCAGGCTAAGGACCAAGAGAATTGGGGCGCTGGCCCTTTAGAATGAGCCCATGGGCACTGCAAGCAATTGCATAATGATAGTGTAAAAACACAGTCCTCAAGTAATCTCTCCCTCTCCCAGCTGTCTTCCCTGCTGGGCAAGACCAGAAGCGAGGCAGAGTGGGGGCCAGCCATGCCTGATGACTCACTTATTCCTACACGCACTGCACTGCCAGGCTGGGGCACCATAGCCAACACTCCCAGCCACAGTCACCTAGACTGGAGCCGAGCAGGTCCTACAGTCCTCCCTGCTTGACATTTTTGGGTGAAAAGATCCTCAGGCATCACCAACACCTCAGGCAGCCCATAGATGCCCCGGGGACAGGCATGCTTGCTCACAGCCCTGGGGCACTCCACGCATGTGCTCACACAATCACATGTGTTTTCACTTGTCACAGTTTCATGCTTACCTACTCACGTGCACACAACCACACACAGTCACCTATGCACGTACCCTGACTCTCTGTCTCACAGAGCCCTGTGGAAGCACACCCCCACCCTCAAGCTCACACCCCTGCCAGTCTTCCTCTCGCACACTCGGGCTGTCTTAGCTCCATGGCTCCATCATGCATCTCCTTCCACTAGACATGCTTTTAGAGATGGACAGACTTGCTTGCTCTCGCCTTCCCTCTTTAGATCTCTTTCTCTCCCACAGCCATGCACCCATACAGACAGCAGGTATGCTCTTTCCCTCCCGTTCTGTGCCCTGTTCCCAGGCTCTCAGTTGCCCACTGCTCCTAGGCACTGCAACAGGCACTGGGTGTGTACCTCCACTCCATGTACACGCACACATTTATTTTTCTTTTCCCCTCATGCACACGCTCTTTTTCACATGGTCACCCTTCTTTTTCATTCCTCCTTGCTTGCTCACTTATTTGCTCACAGTCACCCAAACACATTTATACATTCCAACTCACACTCCCCCCCTTCTGCGCGTAGGTGTTCACATTCGCAGGAAACCAGGCAACCCGGCTGGTGCTGGGGCCTCCGCTCCTTCCCCACCCAGCACCCATGTGGGCCTAGTTTTGGACCAGCAGCTTCTTCAGGGAAACGGGGAAGGGGGGGGGGGGGAGATAGGCAACAGTAGAAACTAGTGATAGCATGACATCACCAAGTACTGCTCTGTGTCTCCAGTGCACAGGC